GATACTTAAAAACTCCAAGGAACTTTTAGACAATTCGAAATCAAAAGATTTCACCAAATCAACAGTTTAAAAACTTACGAATTTTTAAATTTATACACAACCATTCACCACAATAAATTAAAGTCCAGGCTTTTCGATATCATCGAAAGTTTATTTTTCAATAGAAATATAACTCATAAATTTACTTACCTTGTCATTGGTCACTTTCATAAAAATTTTGTTAAAAAACACTCTGATTGTACACACAAACACTCTAAAGTCGATATCAAAAAGATGTCTGAGTTTCTGATTGACAATATCTATGTTGTTTTTTGGAAATAAGGTCTACCAACAATCTATTGTTATTCCCATGGTTACCAATTGCACCCCGTTATTAGCAGACCTATTTTCTAGTTTCTTTGAATTGACAAATGCTACATATTGCCAAACAATTATTATGTCATTTATAAATCCCATTTTAAGGCGGCTCACAGAATTAAACATTGAAGTGTGTCCACAAGTGATTATAGATAATGGGTAATTCTGTTGAGCAGTATCGTGCCGCTATTGGGGTTTTTACATCCAGTGTCATAGCATACTGATAAGGTCAGCTATAAGAATCATTAAAACTGCAAATCTTTTTAAAAATTTACTGTTTGTATTTGGTGTTTTAAGCAACAATACAGGTGTCTGGCATTTTGGTCCCTCAACATTAATTTTTTTGCACAGTTATTTATGTTTTTCATACTTTTACGCTCAGGTGATATTGAAACAAATCCAGGTCCAAATGTTGAAAATTCTCTTGATATTTTACATCTCAATATCAGAAGTATAAGAAATGTTTGATTCCCTTATGTACTTAGTACATGATTTTGATATATTGTGTTTTAGTGAAACTCACTTGAACCCAAGTATAACAGATGAAAGCTTATTTATACAAGGTTTTAGGAGTATTTTTAGAAAAGATAGAAACTCCCATGGTGGAGGTGTAATGATTTTTGTCTCCAATTTTATTAAGGCAAGTCGTAGAATAGATTTAGAACCAATTGATACAGAAATATTATGGATAGAAATACCCCAATCAAAGGGAAACCTTCTTATATGCTGTATTTATCGCCCACCACATACTAGTAGTACATTTTGGCAAAAGTTCTCTTGGTCTATTGAAAAAGCCAGTGATATCTCGAATAATAATGTAATACTTGGTGACCTTAATGTTGATTTCTTAAAACTAAATACATCACATGAAGTAAATACAATTTTGGAAAGCTGCAGATTAACAAACATTATACTTGAACCAACAAGAATCACTTGTAACACAGGCACTCTCATAGATCATATAATTATCAGTGAAAATATACGGGTACATGATTCTGGCACCTTAAATGTTGCTCATACACTTAGTGATCATAGGGCTACTTACATATATATTCATCAGACCTATTTCGCTGTAATTTAATTGACAATCCGAATTGCTCATGTGGACAAATAGAGGATTCATATCATTTGTTTTTTGTTTGTAGAAAATATGTAACAGCAAGATATTCTCTAATGAATAATTTATTATCATTCAACAATTGTACATTTTAGATGTCCATTTGATGTTATGGGGTGTTGATTCATTCTCTGATCAACAAAATGTAGAAATTTTAAAAGTTATTCATACCTTTTTAAAAGAGTGTGGTCGATTCTCTGAAAAATCTTAATTTCTTGTATATATAGTATTGTGTTCTGGTATCAAGAGTTTACTGTCTTTGACACTACTAATTGTTACTGAAAATAATTGTTCTTTATTTTGGCAATATTATAAAATTTTGTATAAGGAGAAGACTATCTAAGTTGTTGTAGAACTTGTGTCTTATCCTTTTGGCTTTAATTGTCAATAAAATATGTTCAATTCAGCAGACCTATTTTTGTATTGTGCAAATTCTCATGCATGATAAGAAGAAAGCAATTGCTGTGGCATTCAACTCGACATTTAGATATATCGATGACGTATTGTCAATTAACAATTTTTATTTCCATTCACATGTCGATACGATATATCCTGGTGAGCTTGAGATAAAACATACCACGGAGTCTGACACATCTGTTTCATACTTGGATATTGTACTTGAAAACGACGTCAATGGTAATCTAACAACCAAGCTCTACGATAAACGTGATGATTTCAATTTTTCTATCGTCAACTTCCATTACTTATGCAGCAATGTACCTTCATCACCTGCATTTTGAGTTTATGTTTCTCATTTGATTCGATACCAACAGCATACTCTGCGTATGAACAATTTTTAAAGCGAGGTAAATTATTGACAAACAAGTTGAGGAAACAAGAATATCAGCAGCCTGTTTAAAGTCATCATTTCGTAAGTTCTATGGTCGATACAATGACCTTGTTAGCAAATACAATTTATCATTGGGTCAAATGCTGACTGACGTTTTTCATACTAACTGTTAGTCCATTGAATTGACGACAATTTTTTCCGTTATTTCCCGGTCATGACAAGGAGCACACTGCGGGTGTGACCGGTCAGCAGGGGATGCTCACTCCTCCATAACACCTGATCCCACCTCTGATGTTTTGGAGGTCTTGTTTGCTTTGCTCCAGTTAAATGGACTTTTGATCTTGAATACTGTTCGTTATTTCCAATTTTCCATATGTTTTACTTCATTAAAACCATCTTAGATGAACAGCATAGGAAAATAACTTTCAGTAGAGAGAATGACTATGTCAGATAAAGAGAGCTCTGACCAGCACTAGAAAATTTGGTCCAGAATTGAAATTTGATTTTTACAAATATAGTAAAGACATCATTTTTTATTACAACTGCGCTCATTTTCCTTTTAGATTCCATGGAGCAGAGATGATTTTCAAAACATTAATTCGTTTTCACTATGGGGTTTCACTACTGTAAAACGAGAATATTTGGCGCACTACTAATTTTAGCGCCTTTGGCGCAAGAGCCCCTGAGCACTAAAATTTATTGTGCGCTCAAGGATTTCTAAATATCATTTTTTGTGTGTGTTCAAAGCTTTTACATAAGTACATGTAAACCGGAACACGCGATTACGTAATGTCGAAGGGTCATTGGATTTTATATATACACTAGAACTGCACATGATCGGAAGACAGAAAGTTCTGCCAAATTATAATTTAATTGAACTATTGTTACCCCGGTACAGTGTAGTTGTTACCCGATTATTATCATTAGCACCTTCAAAGTTTGGCTTCTCGGCGTGTCACTCAGCTATCGCCTCGAGGTAAACAATGCAATCAAGCATGGCGATTGAGCTTGCAGACAATACCTGATTAGGATTACCGTTTTATCTAAGTAATTTTCTGTTGATGCATGCATTGTTTTAATGTGATTTAAATGAGTAAATACTCCATTTCTTTTAATTGAAAATAGAAATAAAATAAATTTTAACAATGTACAACGTCCACGTGTTAGCATTACACGTACCACCGTAAAGGTAACAAATGTTTACTGATATACGGGGGTACTAATGTGTTTCCGTGCTTGACTTACCAAAAAGGCAAATACGGGTGTGGATAAAAACTAGAGGTACTGTGAGCAATGAGCTCACTAAATGATACCCCCACCTCCCATATGAATATAATGACAGTGTCCATGTTTTGCTCTGGAAAATCAAAAATATATATCAGATGAAAAAGTAAAATAGGAGGTGCACAATGGCAATATGTAATTAAGAATCTGTGAAAGTTTCATTAAATTTCCTTCAGTGGAATGAGAGGAGTTGCAGATAAGAGATGGGTACCCCAAAGCGTAACAGACGGACGGACGGACGGAAATACCGATTACTATATACCCTCCCACTTTTCAAGCGGGGGGTATAAAAAACAAAATATTACATTTATATATTTTACTGACAAGTGCAAGCGCTAAAATTTATTTACGCCAATGCATTTCCACTTGCGTTTGCGCTAAAAACGTATGCGCCAAATTTTCTCGTTTTACAGTATTTTATCAAAAGCCCCGCAATGTTCTGAAAAGGCTATTATAACCATGCACATACCCTACTTTTCCAGAGGCAGAGAGAAAGATTTTCAAAGAATGTTGACCAAAAGAGGCCTGACCAAACAAAAGAAACAAATGCAGTGGCCATGAAATTTACAACTTCGGAAGAGGCACACTTGCCTATCATACTCATGATTTTAAACTTATGTTTAATACCAGGAGCAAATAATATTTTCAATGAAGAATGGTATTTCCACTACATATGTATATAATCAAAAACAGAGGCCCACCCTAGGTGCTATGCGTATCATAACATTCAAAATGTGGGAGATATCATTGTTTATCATGACCCTTGATGGCTTGGTTCTATTATATATACAGGTTGAGAAGAGCAATATTTGAAAAAAATTGACGCGTTTCTCAGTATTATCAATATTGACCCTGTTTATCAAACGGACCTCTGACCTTTTATGATCTGGTAAAGAACTTAGTGCTAATTGTAATCATGCTAACAGTTTGACTCCTTGATGTTACACCCCCCCCCCCCCACCACCACCACCTATATATATACTCTAAACCAAAATTAGTGGAAATTTGTTTAAACGTTCATAATTATATTTTTATTGGAAAAGGAGAGCTTGTGAGATGTTAAATTTATATGTGTAGGTTTGATAAATACAGACTAAATGTTTAATTATTGTCCCCTCAACAAGGTTTTTTTCTATTTTTATTGTAATAAATCTACTGACTTTTGTTCAGGTATAAATTATATTTTGTACTACCAAACAAAGGAAACTGATTTGTATCAAGTATACATGCATCTTAATCACTATGGTTTAATTTCATGGACAGGTTTCAAATTGTAGTATTAAAAAATAAACATTTTATTATTATGCTGTAAAATGTTAAATAAAGCAAATCCTATTTAAGAAGCCGTGGCCTCCTCAAGTGATATCTACTGCCAGGGGCATAATGTATGCCTTACTTTAACCTGGGGATCCCTTGACTCTTTTCAAATGAGAACTCTGAAGTTAGGTTTTAATCTGTTTTATGAAGATTTTTGAAATAACGTAACTGATAAAAAAGAAATACAAAGACTACATGAACAGTACATGCAGATGTTTGCTAGGGTAAGCAATTGCTTTATCAGCCATCTATCATTTTATTACTGCACAAGAAGAAATCTTAGACGCATTGTGCAACAGTCGATTCAAGATGAGGTATAAAACAGATATGGATCCACAAAAACAAATTATTTCTACTTAAAGGGGATTTTTTTTACATTACTGCCAGAAAGTGTGTTCAAATGTCAAGTCGCCATTTCTGTCTTTTGCGATGCAAGAAAGAGATGGAGAATCCGAGGAATATTTGTATGCTTCCGGAATAATGTTCACCTTCCTCCATGTGTACTTAACCTCTAACCGTTCATTCCACTCCGATATTTTTGTTCTTTTTTCCTTGTTAGCAGGAGGATTCTCTTTCCTTGACCAGGAGTTGTCACTGCAGTTCAACGAAACACCAACTGCTCCTTCCACAACTACACGTACACGAGTCTGAAATTTACAAACAATCAGTAAAAAAATAGATTTTTGCCTATTCTTTAAATAGAATACAAAATAAAAACAATTTTCTAAAGGAATTACGTTCACGCACCTGATTTTGTTTGCTTGGAAGTATCTTGGTCAGATCCCATCGCAATCTTGGTTTTAGTTCAACTTCAATCTTCTCAGGAGAAATAAGTTTTTCGCCATCCTTCTCTATCACACAAGAATAGTTGCCCTCTATTTCCTTTGATGCACGAAGAAAAGTAACAAAAGAAGAGGACCAGATCTGTGTAGTATTTTTGAAAATATAAGCAGTCTGTGATGAACGTATCTCAGCGCCATTTTTTTCCACTTGTATGGGTGGAGGATTTCTTCCAAGTGCTTCGCAATTAAGTGGTACCATATCTCCTTCCAAATACGGTGGCGCTGGGAATTGTTCCAAAAATTTGAAATTGTTCGCCGATTTAGTTTTACTTATATCATAATAACTTCTGTACATTATGGACTCGATTACGATACTCATACGTATTCTAAGAGAGCTCTCCAGAAATAGGAAATCCCCTAGCTTCTCCAAAGTTTCATCTGAAAGTACAACTGTTGCTTCTGTTGTTGAGTTTCGTAGATAGGTAACATTAACATACTTAGTTTCCCTCGATTCAAGGTAAATATATTCGGCCATCTCATTTTTAACGCTGGCAAACAATCTAACTTCCAAGTACCAGTCATTTCTAGGATCAAGTTCAGGATTACAACGGTAGAAGAAATTATAATCAGAATCGGAGGTTTTAGAGAATGATGACTGACAGGTAACTGGGTTGTCAAATTTAAGAGTACCATCTTCTCCTTCTGTGTCGAATATAATGTTTGTGCTCATGTCGTCTTTGCTAGGGATACCGAACATAACAAAACTTGCAGGCTTTTTGGCATCCAAAGTGAATAGAGTAGTGTTGGATAACGTCTCTGTTGTTGAACCAAAGTCCTTTTCATCGGCTAAAACGATATAACTTACATGTAAACAAATGCGTTTAAGTTTCTGTGGAAATACAAATCCGTTCACGGCTGCCTAGTATCTAACTTTACTGTACTTGTATTTTTAGAAGTATTAAAGCAAATTGTCAATATTATAGATTTAAATAACCTCCAATGAACCGTTGATCAACTACCCAGAAAGGCACCGTAGAATCAGAGAACGTCACTTCTATCTGGAATCGAACACTGTCTCCTGAAGTAGTTTTACTGGCCGATACAACAGAACCTCCAGAACTGGACCATTTTTTTGTACCGGACTTTCATTGAAATTTTTAAAAAGGCATATAAGAACATCACATGCGGTAATTATTCATTCTAAATTAATAGATTGAAAGCAACATGTTACTTAAATGAAAAGAATACACGAAAGAATTTTCCTAAGTAAACATACACTTCATTAGTTCTAAACGGATTTTATCAGATTTGTATGGAGAGGATATCTGTAGGCATGGCATGATTTTTTTAAAGTAAGAGTTATATATTAAAATTTTTTAACTTCAAATTTTGTGAACAAATTATAATTAAAATTTTGAAAAAAATGTAAATTTTCAAATCATTGATTGATTGATGGATTGTATGTTGTTTAACGTCCCTCTCGAGAATTTTTCACTCATATGGAGACGCCACCACTTGCCGGTGGAAAGTTACAATTTTTGTCCTATGCTCGGAACTCAGGGCCTTTGAGCAGTGAGGGATCTTTTTCGTGCCAGCACCTTCTGCGACACGGGGCCTCGGTTTATACGGTCTCATCCGAAGGACCGGTCTCCACGTCCCACAGTGGGATTCGAACCCGCGACGTAAGGATTGACTCCTTACTTCGCGACTCTAGAGCAGACGTTCTAACCACTGCGCCACGCGGGCGACTCTTCAAATCAAAGATCATAATAACACATTGCTTTGTCATCAGAGAAAAAAGTATTATACCATGTACGTGTCAAATGAACTTGACTTCTGGTCTGAAAAATCCCTCTTTTTGGTTTCATTCAAGACTGTTGCAAAAAATTTTTTTAACCAAAGATGACCCTTGGTCAGCCTCTTGCAAAGATGTTGGCGCACCCATGTTGCTTGATTGTAATCTTGACAGCACTTTAATCAGCAGGATCCGGTTGTATCAATATTTAATGAATGATTAAAGCTTCATTAAACTGATCATTTTTAATGTGTCAATAAATTCCGTTGTATCAATGTTTTAATGAACGAATCGGTGCATTAAACCTTCATTAAATTCCTCAATTTTAATGAAGGTAAGGGGTCTTCATTAAGTAGTCATTAAGTATGGCGGCCTACTTTATGTTTTGCCCGCTTGGCAGAAGGAGAAGAATCAGTGCCTTTTGTGAGCCTTTTTCACTGCACATTATGGACGAGGAAATTCGGAAATGATACCGTTTTAAAAAGAAAATGATGGACGGTTTGTCGAACCTTCAATATATAGGCAATAAGACATTCGGAATCACAAATACATCACCTACCTTGTCAACAAAATTATAGGTATAAAGATGCTTCTTTAAATCAAATCACAATAGAAATCCCAACTGTAATCCCAGTGAATACAAAATACCTTCGTGTATATTTGTAAACTAAGTGACGTCATTTCTTTCGTCATCATCTATGAGGTGGTTAGCTCTTTGTAACAAAGGTAAACAGTAAAAAAATAAATACAGCTCCTATTTTAAGGTTTACGGGTATCAATAAAATCATGCATATGAATAATATATCAGAGATCTTATTCTATATACTGTAATAGCAAGCCCCCCCCCCTCCCACACCGTTTTCTCATTTTTAACACAAGCCTGATACTTCTATCACAAATACATGTAACAACGAATTAAGAAAATCGCTTCAGAGATATTTTAACAGTTTATTATTTTTTTGTATTCATCGCTAAAGTCAAGATGTTATAAATTATTCACTGCATTGAGAAAGATATATTTTTGAGTAGAATAAAGAGCCTGTACCTTCTTTACATATAATATCTTTAAAATACGAGTATATGCTTTAAGTTTATCAGTGTTATTTTATTTAAATCATGCCTACCAACCCAACATTTTATAAACATGTAATAGTATTTATTTTTCTTAGAAATCATAATTGACAGATTCAGTTACATTGTAGTAAATGATGTCTCATCAAGCTATTATTTTATAAATGAACGTATTTTAAGTTATCTAAAAATTAACCTGTGACTGCATCTAGAAAACTGTCGGAAAGACACTAATAAATTAATGCAAAAAAAAGGCAGAACATAATTACATGTACAGCTCACAGACTTAATATTGAAAGGGGTCGATATATAGGCATTCCTAGAGAAGAAAGACACTGCAATAGATGCAATAACAAAACAGTTGATGATGAGAAACATTTTCTCTTTTCATGTAATCACATTAAGGATGAAAGAAAAGTCTTGTATGAATTAATAAACAATTCCTGTAAGAATTTCCACAACTTGGACAGTGAAAATAAGTTAAATTGGCTCATGACTAATGAGGATGTGCAAATACTGATTCAAGTCAGTAAAATGATTATGAGAGCTGAAGTATGAAAAGTATTAGTAAACCTGGTTTGTTTTTTTTTTTTTTTTTTTTTTTTTTTGTTTTTTTTTGTTTTTTTTTTTTTTTGTTTTGTTTTGTTTTGTTTTGTTTTTTTTTTGAAATTTAATGTGTCCCCTCATTCCCTTCTTAAATGTACAGAATCAGTCAGAATGGGTGTCTTGAATACTTAGAGTACGGGTTTGCCAGTATAATCGGCTGTGCAGAGGCATCGTCCCCTGGTACCCTCTGTATCCAAGTTACCTTTTCTTTACATTAATTGTATGCTACCTTCAAGATCACAGATTTACATTTATACAGGATAGTACCATTTGTTTATATATATACATATATTTGTGTGTAAATTATTATTTTTGTATGCATGGATATGTGTAACAATAAGCGTATGTTTATAATATATACTATACATACATATATTTGTGTATAAATTATTATTTTTGTATGCATGGATTTGTGTAACAGTAAGTGTGTGTTTGTGTATGTGGGTATGCATATGTCAAATATCTATTGAACTAACTCCAAGAGATTAGTTTGCATTAAGTTTCTAATTATATGCTAAGTACTTATTAATTGAAATTACTATTTCTGTTAATACTTAAATGATTTTTTTTTTTGAATGACCATCTTCAATACTTAGGGTACAGGTTTGCCAGACTGGCTGTGTAGAGGTATCATCCCCTGGTGCCCTTTGTATTCAAGATGCACTAGTTTTATATTAGAGTACTGCCATTACTACAAGATTTTTTTTTTTAAATTTACCTTATATCTATCATTTTTTTTTTTTTTTATTTAATTGTGTTTTCTTTTATCATTCTATGGTTTCTATGCTTTTGATCCAGTGTGGTGATGCACTTCTCAATGTCAAACTTAATCACAAGTCATGTTATTATCCTTAATATAGAATTGTAATCAATGTTATCATTTTGTAATAATTGTTCATGCCCCCTGTGGGCCCTTGATTGGTGAATAAACATAATAATAATAATAATGTACAATACATACATGAAATCTTTTTCGCAAAAAGGTAAACGTGATTCCATTTTGCGCCGTGATAATCTCCCGTATTTTATCCTTTACTTAATTGTTTGTATTGAACATTCTTCGTAACTTTGCTATTAATGATATTGATACTTTTTTCTATTCGTATTGTTAGAAATAAGTCTTCCACTATTATGATTATATCTACATGTACATTCGTTGAATGAGTTTCATTGTTTGCGTGAGGGAATTTTAATAATGAATTTATAAGAATAGAACAACATAGGAGTAAATGAAGAGAAAAAATCAAAGTGAAATGTAATATAAGAATATGAACAGCTTAGCGAGACAAAACAGTTACATTATCAATCAGGCAGAGTGCATTTAAGAATACATAAACAGGATAAAGATGTGTCGACCCCAGATTTTAAGGAGAAAAAAATGGAAGGAGCGGGACCCCCCCCACCCCCCACCCCCCGGTGCCTCTACATTATTGTAATACCAAATAATAAACAAGTAGACGTAATAAGAATGAAAGCGAAATACAGACTTTTGGTTGTATTTCCCTTCTATACCCTACCCCCCCCCCCCCGCTACATGTATTTATGACATCGATATTTCTCTACATAAGTTCGGTTAACAATTGAATTTCGCTAGAATTAATTTTCTTTCCCTGATTTCTATTACATCTGAATTGAATTCTGTCAGTAGTTCTAGTGCAGCTTTTGATAAATTGACCCTTTTTTATGCATGTTAGTCCTATATCCTTCAAGACAATCACAGACTTCGTTAAATGACAATTTTTTTTATTTTCACGTCATAATTAAAATGATTTCTATTCGGTTGATAAAAAAAACTATTTTATTAATTATAGCTTATTTAAGTATTTTGTAAACAAAGGAAACGCCCACGGATACGCCCCCGGAAGTATTAATGCATTGCATTGTGGGATATTCCCCTAATGTTAATAAATCTTTAATGAATTCTTAAATATTTAATGATTCATTAAGTAAAAAGACTCTAATAAAGGTTTTGTATAACTATCACCGTGTGAAATTGACCGTTTGACTTCAAATTCATTTTGGACTCTAAATGTTGTATTTAATTTTTGTTTTAACGTGATATTTGGTATTCTAAAATTATTGTGTTTCAAAATTTGCATTTTACCATTCTTTCTCATACGTCAAATTACTAAGCGCTCATTTAATTACTGAGTGTCACTTGTCAGACACCAAAGGGGCAGAGTGTTTATGCCCAAGGACATTTTAATCACTTTTACAAACAACATGTAATTAATTAATTATCGGTGTTCTTTATGTCCATTCCATCAAAGTGTTTCATTTATTTAATTGTTCACTGTATCACTTTCACTCATTGTCAACACCTGCCATTTTTAACTCATTGTACATTTTCCCATAAATACAATTGTCAAATTTTACTTAATCAGTTCGGAGGCTGGGTATACTACCGGCCACACGCCCGACTCGTTCCCCCATCATGCTGTAACTATTTCTACTTTTAACAGTTTGGAGGCTATGGCCATATCCAACTGGTTATTGTTAATTTTTGTTCCATGTAAGTCATTTCCATCGTTGGGACTTTATAATAAATTCGGAAACCATACTTATTCCTCGTTACTTTGGACTTTTTATATGTGTCATCGGGAAGAGTCCTTGGAATACGGCTCTACTACTTCCGGCCAACGACGCCACTCACTTCCCCTGCCAACATTCCCTCTTGCCCGATCAACGACACATCTTTTAGACCCAAACTACGCGGTCAAAGGCGACTAAATGGGGCGGTCCTTCGGATGAGACCGTATAAACCGAGGCCCCGTGTCACAGCAGGTGTGGCACGATAAAGATCCCTCCCTGCTCAATGGCCCTAAGTGCCGAGCATAGGCCTAAATTTGCAGCCCTTCACCGGCAATGGTGACGTCTCCATATCAGTGAAATATTCTGGAGAGGGACGTTAAACAGTATACAATCAATCAATCAATCATACAACACACTTTAATGACTTTATTAACTAATGTATCATTAAGAATTTAATGAATCATTAGGCTTAATAATTCATTAAATTTAATGAACCGTTGATACAACCGGGTCCAGATCTTTAATTTCCTTTTGCCCATTTTTCAATTCAATGATCTGAAAAAAGTTGTTTGTTTCTTTGTTTGTTTAATGTTCGTTCAAGAATTTTTTGTATCAAAGTACAATAATATATTGTAGACTCTAACATGTAATAAAGAAAAATTCCAGACCTGGTTTACATGAATGAGTTCATATACGTAGAGCCTTAAAAATAATTCCAATTTTTAAAAGAAAAATATCAGGATTTTTACAGAAAACAAACTATAAATCATAAATTTCGAGTCCAGCTTTAAAAATACTTTCAGATGAAAATCGCTAAAGAAGTAAAAAAAAAATGACAACGTAAACCAACCTTTGTATAGACATCACCAGTCGAGAAACCAAAACAGGATAGAAGCAGGAATGGAAAAATAATTCTAATCATTCTTCTGATTTCACGTTAGCCCACAACTTTGGAAATCAATGCATATTTATGAACATTTAGGCATAAATACTGTGGTTTTTATTAGGTATGCCAGTGGCATTTCACAATCTGGCTTGGTTTAGAGTTTATGTATTATTGAAATAAATTAATGTTAGTAATGACAAATGAGAGCGTGCTGGCCTTAATAACCTTTAATAAACAGTATGTTGAAGTTCACAAAGTCAATAAAAGGCCTTTGATTTTAATCTTAATTTCCATTTTATTTTTCAAGGTTTTTTGTGGATAACAATACTTTATCTAGCTGGTCAAGATTTAAGAGTACTATCAGTCGGAACATTTTTATGGCTACTTAGTTTTTTGAGATCTGCTTCACCCCTACTAATGTGTTCGGAACCTTTTATTTTTCGATGTTCTTCATATTGTATAACTCGATGAGTTCAACATAGCTATGGCAGTGGCTCTGTCGAGACTTAGCAAGACTTAGCGAAAAAGGGTAAATTTTTCACGGAAATGTGGCTAGGAAGTGACTAGCACGTGGAGACATGGTAAACAGAAAAGTTTCAGTTTTCACCACCTTATATTATCTGTAGAGATGTACTTCAATCGATCTCTCTTAAATTCATTCAAACATAAATGTAAAGTATTCTCTGTGACACAATTTTCTGTAACAGGAATTAAAATTTTTTTAGACAAATATTTTG